CCGCCCCCGTTCCCAATCCTAAGGCAAGGATGATGCCATGATGATCTACAAGTATCTGGTGGCCCTCGTTTCGAGAGCCCGTGCGTAATTATGGGATTTATGAGGAAACCTGGCACACATCCTTATCATGACTTCTGGCTCATCTGGAATCCCCCTCCCCATCGTCCGACTCGAGATGCACCTGCAAAGACGAGAAGGGCCAGAGAGGACCACCCGGCAGCCGCCCCAAAAGAAAGAGTTCCGTCCTCCTTGCCCGCCGTCTCGGTGGCGACCGTCTCGCTCGCCTCGGTCGTCCTAGTATCACGCGTAAATATCAGCAAGCCTCCAGCACGATCGATCAACCACGACATGGTCATTCTTGTCCTCATGAGAACAACCAAGACAAGTAGATTGAGACATCCGCTAACCCTCAGACGGGCTAATTATACCAATCGCGCGACTAACTGACAAACGGGCACAACGAGACATCCGCACTGACCATTTAGACTAGCTAAGACCGCTTGTATTGCCACGGAGTTTAGCTACTGCATGGCTAAGTCAGAATGACGACTCAGAAAACCTCCTGGGGGTAGTTTTGAAACAAGTGTTCCTGCAGCTGGGACTGCGGAGAGGACCATCACATAGTCTCAACGACAACGACGCCGCCCGCGGGCAGACATGTAATCATTATATATATATATGTATATATATAAATATATATATATATATATAGATCATCGCCCAAAGCCCCGCGGCGTAACGCACACCGCCGGGTTTGTCTTCATCGCAAGATGAGCGTTGGGACTCACATGGCTAAAGGTCCGAATAGAAGGGGTCGGGTCGGAAAAACGCGCCGTCGGCGTGGAGAAAATTAGGCACAGCCTCGAGCCGCAGTGCCGATGTATCGGTGATGCAACGGTATCCTCCCACATCATAGGATTCGGGCCACATTTGGAAGTCCTCGGCACCATGGCAGGAGTGTGGCGGAAGGCATCCATACCCGGTCCACCGCGCTGCCGACCGTGACCGCTCTCCAAACATGCGACGTCTAATCTCTTAAATATGGACCCCCAGAAAAACAAAACTCACTTTGGGCGGTCCCAGGGCCGCCAGGGCCCAGCGAATGCCCGCGAAAACCGAAAACTGCCAAAGACCGTCCGGCGTGATGTGTTCACAACACAAACATGTCCAGGCTACCACATGCCAGTGCGGCCCTACACGACCGTCGCCCCGAACACGATGGGCGCTGCGCTGATCAAATCTCGACCACGCAACTTCGGAGGTTTCCCTGAGGGGGGGTCCAAGAGAGAAGGGACGCAAATCATGGCCCGAGGCATGTGCGCAGGCCCAGGGGGGCAGGGGACACGTGAAATAAAAGGAAACGCCATGATGTCTGGGTAGATATCATTGCCCTGGCCGTGATATCCACGAGATCCCCCCCTGGTCATCAACCCTCTCTGTGACGCCCCCGACAAATTGGGCCCGAGCCCGTCGCCCGTGATTACGCCGAGGCCGACCGCCGACCGGAGATCGCCGCGACCACCATCCTGGCAGCGGAGGCCCGCCGCGTGCCGTGGAGAGGTCGCGGCCTGGAGAACCCCTGAGCTCGTGAACGGAAGACAAACCTGGAGGCCTGGAAATGAACACCAACACCAAACCAACCAAAGGGGTGCGTCCGACCGGGGAGGATGATCCTAGATCGTGGTGCTGGTGATACTTGTTCAGCCATCTAAGAAATCCGAATATTGCAACCAGCGCCGCGATCAGGATCATCTTCCCTCGGTGAAGGCACACCGCCGATACTGGTGTTAGCGTCAACCTCTAGGCCTTCGATGCGAAGCGTTAAAACTTCAAACCCAAGCTCAAGGCTGCAAGACCCAGGAGGGGAGGAGGAGAAGATGGAGGATGAGGAACAGGTCAAGGAAAAGGAAAAGGAAAAGGAAGAAGAGGAGGAGGAGGAGGAGAAGGAGGAGAAGGAGGAGGAGGGGGAGCGAGCCCCCGCGCGTGGAGGACCCCCCTACGACCAGGTGGCGACATCCGAACCGTATCCCCACCAACCATCAATTTCCCTGAATCGATGGGAGGCAGGGTAGGGTTCGGATTTCGCTACATGTTCGACGAATTCTGGGCCCTGTCCCCGCCGCCCATCGAGTTGCCTGAACCGTCGATCGGCGATGACTGGGCTCGGATGTCGACGCCGAACGGAGCCTTCCACGAGCTTCCGCCAGCGGAGGCGCCCTCGTTTCCGTTCCGCGGGCTTTCCGCCGACCCTGCGCCGATGCAAAAACCTCGAACCTCTCGATCCCTCGAAGGCGAGGGCCCCTTCTGGAGAGCCCAACGTGTCGCGCGGCGCCCTCTGGTGCCCCGCCGGGGCCCCGGGCCGCGTGCTTTTTCTTGTTTGCTGCACGGCGAAGGCATTTTCATCGACGCTGGTCTGCGAAAGCAAGCTTACTTGCGCGCACGACGACAACGAACGAAACGAGGAAGAAAACTAAAGAAAAAGAAACGCAAGAGAACAAATCCACCCCGCGCGGTTAATCTCAGCGCCACCAGCTTCTCGCCAGGGGGCAGCATGGAAGCGCGGGGCCTGCGCCGCGCTGCCGCCCAGGGCCCCTGTTTGCGCGGGGCAGCGCGAAGCCAGGCCGACGGCCGAATTAAACAGCCTCCGCTCCTCGCGGTGCCTTGCGGCACGGCCCCTGGCCCCGCAGCTCCTCGGGCGGGGCAGGCCCCCCGCCTGGGAGCTCGCGGGCCGAGGGCCGCGGCGAGCAGCCGCACGCCCGCCCGGCGGCGCTGCTTCGCCGGCTGTGCTCCGCGGAGCTCCACCGATGGCGGCAGGCCGGCGACGCCCAGCAGCCGCTCTGGCCGAACTCGAAGCTGCCGCGCGGTCCGCGGGACCCGACAGGGCTCACCCTTTGCCGCTCACAATCGCGGCCGCCCTTCATGAGCGAGCCGAGGGCGAGCGGGCTCGGCGCCGCCGGCGTCGGCGCGCGCGCGGGGGGCCCGCGGCTGCCCTCGCGCGGAGCGGGCGCCGGCGCGAGCCCAGCGACGCATGGCCTGATCCAGGGCGGCTTGAGCCACATGGGCGCGGTGCAGGCAGTGGATAAGGAACCATTGGATAAATAATCCAGGCTCTGGAAGCCGCCAGTTAATGCCTGGCCGTGGATATCACCACCGCCCTCCTCGTCAGATCCAACATCCTCCAGGGTCTTGAACATCCTGGGGACGTTTGTTACCGAACGCTCCCCCAGCATTGGGGGCTGGGCGGCTGGGCAGGGGTCACCCGCTTGGCCCCCCACCACAATACTCCGATGACCTTCGCGCTTTCACAACGCATGGGCCCACGGGGGCCCTGGACCTTTCCCCAAGGCCGACTCTTCATCCCGAGCCGCTCGTTTACTGCGTCGGGGCCAGGCCAAGGAGCCCCACAGCCCGAAAACTTAGAGAAAACAGCGCCTTGACTCCCTGAACAGCTTGTCCGTAAGGGTTCTACGCAGTGCTTCTGACGCATGGTTAGAGGAGGGACCCCCAGCTCCCAAAATGGGCAGCCGATCGCGGCACCCATCGTGTCCCCCCCCGTCATTAAGCTGTTTAGGGTCGGTCTTCTGCCCCAAATGTCCGTGACATGCGATATCTTGTTTTTCACCTTCCTCCTTTGTCGGGTGTTCGTTTTGAGTAGAGCGAGCACTGTGGTATCCACTGACCTTTCCCCCGCTTCTCCTTCACCCTCCTCCTGCCTCCACCGGCGCTGCCCTCTGAGTGGCTGCGAACAGCGCAACTGTCGCCACTTTCGTGGGCTCCTGGGAGGTCCAGCGGAGTGGAGTTACACGCAGACCCATTGGGGACCTCACTGCTTCCTGGGTGGCTGCGAACTGCGCAACTGTCGCCACTATCGTGGGCTCCTGGGAAGTCCAGCGAAGTGGAGTTACAGCAGACCCGTTGGGGACCTCACTGCTCCTTGGGAGACTGAGAACAGCGCAACTGTCGCCACGTTCGAGAGCTTCTGGGAGGTCCAGCGGAGTGGAGTTACACGCAGACCCCTTGGGGGCATCGCTGCTCCCGGGGAGGCTGCGAACTGCACCAATCGCCATTTTTGAGGGCTCCTGGGAGGCCACGCGGAGTAGAGCTACACGCAGACCCATTGGGAACCTCGCTGCTCCCTGGGAAGCTGCGAACAGCGCAACTGTCGCCACTATCGTGGGCTCCTGAGAAGTCCAGCGAAGTGGAGTTACAGCAGACCCGTTGGGGACCTCACTGCTCCTTGGGAGACTGAGAACAGCGCAACTGTCGCCACTTTTGAGGGCTCCTGGGAGGTCACGCGGAGTAGAGCTACACGCAGACCCATTGGGAACCTCGCTGCTCCCTGGGAAGCTGCGAACAGCGCAACTGTCGTTCCTTTCGAGGGCTTCTGGGAGGTCCAGCGGGGTAGAGCTACACGCAGACCAATTGGGAACATCGCTGCTCCCTGGGAAGCTGCGAACAGCGCAACTGTCGCCACTTTCGAGGGCTTCTGGGAGGTCCAGCGGAGTAGAGCTACACGCAGACCAATTGGGGACCTCGCAGCTTCCTGGGTGGCTGCGAACAGCGCAACTGTCGCCACTTTCGTGGGCCATTGGGGACCTCGCTGCTCCTTGGGAGGCTGTGAACAGCGCAACTCTCGCCACTTTCCTGGATGTCCAGCAGAGTGGAGTTACACGCAGACCAATTGGGGACCTGGCTGCTCCTTGGGAGACTGAGAACAGCGCAGCTGTCGCCACGTTCGTGGGCTCATGGGAGGTCCAGCGGAGTGGACTTACACGTAGACCCATGGGGGAACTCGCTGCTCCCTGGGCCACTGCGAGCTGCACAATCGTCGTCACTTTCGTGGGCTCCTGCGAGGTCCAGCAGAGTCGGGGGCCACGCGGATCCAGCCGAAACCTCGCTGCGCCCTGGGAGGCCGCGAAGTGCGCAACTGTCGCCACTGTCGTCGGCTCCTGGGAAGTCCAGCGGAGCCAGGAGCCACGCAGACCCATTGGGGACCTCGCTGCGCCCTGGGAGGCTGCGGACTGCGCAACTGTCGCCAGGTTCGAGGGCTCCTGGAAAGTCCAGCGGAGTGGAGTTACACACACAATCCTATTAGGGAACTGGCTGCTCCCGGGGAGGCTGCGAAGTGCGCAACTGTCGCCACGTTCGTGGGCTCCTGCGGCTCCTGGGAGGTCCAGCGGAGATGAGGACAACACGCCTGGCGGTGTGCTAGTTTGGTCTCGGTTGGGTGTCAGACCCCCGCGGCTTTTTCTGCCAACTGGGCGCGATGCGACGATGACGGTGACAATGATGGCTAGATGATGATGCTTGGGAAGTCGGCATGAGACTCCCGTGGGGAGCCCTCTTGTGTCAGCTCAAAAGCGTTCCGCCTCCTCTTCCTCCTCCTCCCCGTCCTCCTCCTCCTCCTCCTCCCCCTCATCCTCCTCCTCCTCCTCCTCCTCCTCCTCATCATCATCATCATCAGCATCCTCTTCCTCATCCTCATTATCATCCTCATCCTCATCCTCCTCCTCCTCATCCTCCTCCTCCTCCCCCTCCTCCTCCTCCTCCTCCTCCTCGTCATCATCATCATCATCATCAGCATCATCATCACCATCATCACCATCACCATCATCAGCATCATCATCATCATCATCATCATCATCATCATCGTCATCATCATCATGGACATCGTCATCATCATCATCATCAGCATCATCATCATCAGCATCATCAACATCACCATCACCATCACCATCACCATCATCATCATCATCATCATCCTCATCATCATCATCATCATCATCATCATCATCACCATCATCGCGTTCAGACGCCCCTTTCCCAGAAACAAGCAAAACAATATAACACAGACGCAATCCTGGGAGACTCCACCCTCTCCCCCCAGAAAATTCCCCAGGAGTGTTTGGTCTGCGTGTGTTGCGTGTTATGGTGTTTGTCTTATTGGTTGCGTTGGTTCTGCCCCGCAAGGGGGGTCGAGGGACGAGGAGGAGGAGGGAGGAAGGAAGAGGGGGAGGAGGAGCGGAGGAGGAAGAGTAGGAGGAGGAGGGAGAAGACTGAGGGAGGATGATGAGAAGCGGGGGGAGGGAGGAGTAGGAGTTGTCGGATGGGGAAATAGAGGGGAGGATCAGGAGGATGAGGTTAAGGGATCATTCCTCCTCCTCGTGAGGTGTAATAGGAGTGATCGAGCGATGATAGTGACGATGATGGTTACGTGCAGAGGAAAGAGGAACGACTCCCGAACCTCATCATCGTCCTTGAATTCCTCCTCCTCCTCCTCGTCCCCCTCTTCCTCCTCCTCCTCCTCCTCCTCCTCCTCCTCCTCCTCCTAATCCTCCCCTTCCTCGCATCACCCCTCATCCTCCTCCCGATCCTCCAGTAACTCCCCCCCGTCCCTCTCCCGTATTGCAGACACATGGATTATACTAATGCTGATGATGGGGGGTCGTGACAGGAGGAGGAAGAGAGGAACATGCAACACGATGATGCCGAGAAAGATGATCAATCCCTACTCCTCAACATCATTGTCCGTTCCCCCTCCTTCTCATCCCACTCATGCTTCTCGCCCTTTTCCTCCTCCGCCTCCTCATCCTCATCCTCCTTTTTTTCACCGCGTTCCCCCTCCTCCTCTGTCGTGCCAGAAGCACGACAGGAAAGCTGGAGGATGAGGAGGAGAAGGGGGATGAGGAGGTACTTCAGAGGATGAGAAGGGATATCAACAGTATGGGGAGGACGTCAATGGTTCGCTCCCCGTTTCCTCCCGTTCCTCTCACACTTCATCTCCCTCGTCGTCCACCGCATTATATCACACGTCGTCGTCCTTCTCATTTTCCCCCATCGCCACTATTGACGGAAGAGGGGCGAGTGGGTGGGTGGGTGGGGGATATGCGGAGAGCGGGTGATATGAGGTAGAGGAGTGGGCAGAGGAGGCGGGCGAGGCGTAGGCGGAAGGGGAATATGATACTGAGGGGCATACTGAGGAGAATGAGGAGGGGGATGATGATGATGCTGCTGCTGATGATGATGAGGAGAAGGAGGAGGAGGAGGAGGAGGAGGAAGAAGAGGATGAGGAGGAGGAGGAGGAGGAGGAGGAGTGATATGAGGAGCAGCAGGAGACGTAGGATAAAGAGGAGGAGCAGGAGGTTGTGGAGGAGGATGACGATACTGTGGCGGTCAATTGATAGGGCGAGAATGAGGATACTGAGGATGACGACGATGAGGACAACGATCGTGATTAGGAGTAACTCTTACCCCTCCTCAGCATCGCCACCACCCTGATGCCATCATTCCCGCTCCTCCTCATGCCGCTCATCCTCACCCTCCTTCTTCTGCTCCTTCTCATATTTCCCATGTGGAGAGGCGGAGGGGGAGTGATATGAGCATGATGAGGAGGGAGAGTGGCATGAGAAATATGAGGATGAGTTGGAAGATGATGATGAGGTTCAGGAGTCACATTCATGCGCATTCAGCTGCTCCTATCAGGTCTCATCCTCCACATCGCCCTCCTTCTATCACTCCTCCCCATCCTCCTCATCCCTATCCGATGTCTCTTATAGGAAGAGGAGGAGGAGGAGGAGGAGGAGGAGGAGGAAGAGGGTGTAGGAGGGGGAGACGGGCTCCTTGAAGCACCTCGCCATCGGCCTCCTCATGTTCATCCTCCTGCTGGCGGCTGCTCTTCCTCCCTCTCTTCCTCATCATCCTCATCCATCCGTCTCCTCCCTCCACGTCCGCCTTCTATGTGAGAGATATGCGGAGGATGAGGAGCATGAGTGATAGAAGGAGGGGAAGGAGGAGGACAATAAGCATTGATGGGAACACGAGGAAGAGTAAGGCAAGGAGGAGGAGGAGGAGGAGGAGGAGAGGAGAGGAGAGGAGGGGAGAGGAGAAGGATGAGGAGAATGAGGATGGGGTGGATGAGGAGGAGGAGGAGACGACCGTAAAGGAACGATGAGGATGAGGATGAGGATGAGGAGGAGGAGGAGGAGGAGGAGGAGGAGGATGAAGAGGAAGGGAGGAATACCGAGCGCGGAGGAGGGTCGAAAGTCCGCCATGTCCATGATGGTGAGACTCTCTCTCTCTCTCTCTTTCTCTCTCTGTTTTTCTTCTCGCTCTCTCTCTCTCTCTCTCGCTCTCGCTCTCCCAACTCGCAGATTCTTGCCCCCGAAGCGCCAAGAGCGAGCCCCACGGGAGTCCATCGGCAGGAGTTCTCTCCCTCAACTACCATCCCGTCGTCAGAAATCTGAAAATCTCGGGAGTCCGAACCCGAACCGAAACCGTCATTTCGTCTGGAATCGTCATGTATTGATTCGCATCGCGCGGCAAAGGAATGGGGGACGTCTCGTGTATTTTCACGACGCGAATCTGTCTAGGATTCGTTTTCAAAAAAAATGACTTCTGGCCCGCGATCGGCACCCGATCGGCACGCGATCGGCAGCCGCGGCTGACCAGTGAGCGCGGGCTCAGGGGCAGCTGCGGCGCGTGCGGGAACGAGGGTGCCCAGCAGCCGGGCGGCGTCCAGCCGGCCGCCTCGGATTTGTTTTTCGCCCCGCCCGGCAGGTTGGGAGTTGTTAGACTGGAAGGAAGAGCTCCCGACCCACCTCGCACACCATTGCATACCACGGCCGCCAGGGCCCAAGGTGTGCCGGCGCTCTCGGGGCATCCCGCCTCGCGTCCTCGACGAGTGATGACTGCATACCGCGGCCGCTGGGCCCGAACTGTGCCGGTGCTCCCTGGGGATCCCGCCTCGCGTTCTCGGGTGGGGATCGCTCGACACCGAATAATGTTTTCCTTTTGTACAGAGCCCTGCCCGTGGAGAAGACATGGAGACGGCTACCCCCGCCTCCTACCGCTGCCTTTGGCGATTGTCGCCCTCCGGACACGGCCCCCGCGGCGGTCTACCAAACGGCTCGGAAGGAGGAGAAGTGGGAAGCGGTGAGGAGCATGATGTCGGAGGCCTGGCCAGGGCCCACTCGGCTGCCCCTCTCGCGCTCCTGGTCTCGAGCTTCTCGTGCCAGGCTGGGGCCTGCCTGCCTGCCAGCTCCCGCAGGAGCGGCCCACGGAATCGACAGGCGGGCGGCTCTCGGGGCAGCGCGTGGCATGCTCTGCAGCACAGTGCTGCGCTGCACTGCACGCTCCACAGAGACTCCGCTTTTAGCGTTCCGGGTCGCGGTCGTTGCCTGGGGGCGGGTGAGGCTGAGCACCCCGAGAGACGGTGACGCTGGGGCTGGGTGGGGCACGTCGGGGCGGAGGTGCGCTGATTGCCGCAGTATGCGCGCGAGCACCAGCATGTCGGGGGGTCCAGGCCCGCCACCAACGTACGGTCGTCACTCGATTTTTTTTTGGGGGGGGGACTGGGTGTGGCCCTGGTGACGATTATTACGCGCCAGAGGAGAACTTAAAACAAACAAAGCAATCTCACGATTTCCTCGGCACTTCATGCCCTGCGCCAGGATCTCTCCCCTGGGTGAGGCCGGAACTTCAACAGAAAGCCCCCCCAGCGATTCCGGAATGTACAATTCAGCACTCGAGGGAATTGGGGCAGAAGTGAGATCGGAAAAGAGGACAAACAATGCGATCCCTCCAGGCAGTGGCCCTAATGGGGCGAGCTCCTGACTCCGAGACTGCCAGGCAGCAAGCACATGACCACCAGCTTGCTGGAGCTCCCACAAGATACGCGGTCGCTGCGGGCGGGCACGCCGCCGCGCGGCAACTCTGGGACACGTGAGTTCGTGCGGCAGCACGGTGGATCCGGCACGACCGCCGCGCAAACGGAAGGCCCCTGCCGGCAGCGTGCGCGCTGGACCGCTCCTCTCGCGAGACCCAGCCAAGGTGCGCTCCTCGTCCGAAAGAAAACCAACATGATCAGCCGCCAAAAAATTCAAAGCCTTGGGACAAAATCAAAACGAAGTCCAACCTCCTCTATTTGGAATGTCTTGAAGGAATGGGCTGCGTGGATACGTGGTTGTAGCACATGTGTGCCGCTCAGAGACCACAATGTGAAGAAAGAGAGAGAGAGAGAGCGACATACATATAGAGAGAGAGGGAGAGAGTGTGAGAGATAGAAAGAGGGAGAGAAACAAAGAGAAAGAGTGATGCCCAAACATGTTCCAAAGCAGGACTCTCCGTGGGGTGGAATCTGCCCGCAGGACATTGACGGATCTCGTCAGTGTAGCGAGGTCCTGGCGACAACGAGGTCCAGGCGACAAGATCGTAGTCATCATTTGAGAAGTCAATGAAAGCTGCGTCATCGGTGAACCAAACATGTTCTTGCGACCAATCCCGGGCTTCTCAATACGGTTAGAAGCCGCCATTAAGAAACCTAACGAACTCCTGTCAATGCGCTCGCCACGTTCTACAGCTCATGGCGGGCTGGGAAGGGTGCCAACGACGCAAAGCGCCAAATTCATGTTCAGAGCGGCTGCGTGCCCCCGCGCGCAAGTGCAACAATATCCCAGGAGCAGGCGCTGGATGGTGCCTGGCCAAGCCTCTCCAAACATCGACCTCTGCATGTCTGGTTCAGACAAATCCGCGCGCCTTCACCGTGCTTCGCCTGCGAGAACTGCATCCGGTTCGATGGCAGCATCCAGTCTGTCTGTCCATCTTCACCTCGCAGGGGCTTCGGCGGGCCAGCCACGTGCCAAGCGCCCGAGCAGAGGGAGGCGAACATCAGAAGGGGACATGGCCTCAAAGCAGAACTCACTGTTCAAGTGAACATCAGCAGCATGGGGGAAAGCCGTGCCTGTGGTTGAAACCTGCCGAAGCGGACGGTTCAAGAACTAGGATCTCCGGACGTGGCCGATGCGTCGTCCGCCTGGTGAGTCCTGCAGGCCACTAGGCTGGTGATGGACGCCACAGATGCACCAACATTCCTCACTTGAGTCCTCAACCCGCCATGTGGAATCAGGAATGCTGGCCCACCCCCCGCCCCCCTGAACGGGTCGCCAAAGGTGACCGTCAAATTGGCAACCTCGGAAGAAAGGTTGCGACTGAAGTAGAAAGTGCGCCCACCATGGCAAACGATGGCCGTGCCGCGAGTTTGGCCCGAACATTGCAGATCTCGTGAATAAATTTCGGCCACTGTGCTGATCTGTCGCTGCCGCGGGGCCAGGCACTACAAGCACAAATGAATCATATCCTCGAACTCGGGCGCGGGATGACGCAAAAGAAAAGACAGAAGAGCCGAGGAAGACTAGCATGCTTCCTCTCAAACTGCTCCTCCCCCTTCTCGCTCCAATTCCCACCTCTATCTAAGAGCGCAAACACCCGAGGCCATGACGCGCTTCTTAGATTATTGCGGTCGCCCGCGCTTCGCTCGGAGATCGGGCCGGGCGAAAGGGGGGGATAGCAAAGGGGGGGTTTGAGAATCAGCTCACGTAGCTGATTTCCCAGCGCCTCCCGGCGCCGGAGGCGGCCATGTATCGAGGAATGGGCCCGGCGGCGGGGCCGAAACCAGCTGCATGCAGCAGATTTCGTACCCCCCCCACGTTTCCCAATCCCCCCCTGTCGTCCGGCCCGAGGAGAGCAGATTCATCATCCACACCACGCCAGCCGGGCGTGCCCATCGGCGCGTTAGTGATCCAGAAGTGCGCGCGGGCCGCGGTGCGGGGGAGAGACCCGTCGGGGCAGCGAGCATCGGCGGAGACACCAGGCCGACAAGCACGGGGACACCAGGGCCAGTCTGGTTAAGGGCATTGGAGAAGGAACCCCTGGATGCGAAAACCAGGGTCTGGAAGCCCGGGGGACTCCGATCGTGGCTAGGCCTGGGATGTCACCACCGCCCTCATCGGATGAGGAATCATTCAGGGAATGAGGCCTCCTGGGCATACTGAGGCGCCCACAAGGGCACCACGAAGCCCCCCAAAGGCGCCCAAGAGCCCCTCAGGAGCAATACGCTACAACAGCCAGTCCCGCAAGGCGTAAACACAAAAATCGTTCAGGGTATGAGGCCTCCTGGGCACATTCCTTCACGAACGCCCCCACCGAGCCCCATACATGCGACGTATATCGCACGGGCCCCCCAGAAGTCCCTGGCGCTCTCCCCGAGGCCAGTCTCCGCATCCCGAATCGATCTGGAAGAATCTGGACGCTCCCAGAGAGCCCGAAACCGGTCCCCAGACGCCGAAAACAAAGACGCACTCCATTTTCACATCGGAGCGTCGAGTGCCTGGGACTGCCGCCCATTGAGCGCAACATCGGCAATGGCGTGCGAGCGGCCAGGACACCCCACAGCACACAGGGAGGGCAAAAGAAAAACCATCACAGTTAAGCGTCCCATACAAGCGAAGCCCTTTAGTGAACACGCCAAAAAAAAGGAAACCGATCAGGGCAGGAATATTCCGTAGACGGCCAGGGCCGCCGATCAGTAAACGTCAGTGATGGGAGCCAGGGCGGTTTTGCCTCCCTCGCACACAGCTCCCGAGGAGGCCCTGAGAGGGCGCCGCCGCAGGAAAGCCAATGGCACACCCCGCTGTGGGCGCCCGGGAGGGGGAACGAAGACGCCC